AAGTTTCACTTTTTAAATGGAATTACTGAAATAAATCTACTTTTTCATGATATTCTAATTTTATGACCAGCACCTGTACAATATTAGCAATAACTACAGTATGACAGAAGAAATACTGAACTAGTACTATAGTATTACCCGTGTACTGGAAGGCTCAAGATGTTTCTGAGGCTGCAAAAGATTTTATCGACAGCTTCTGGGTCTCTGTTGGCTCCAAACTCTGTAGAGATGATTGACTGCTGGATGTCTGAAAACAACAACAACAACTCACCGTTTGTTTTCAGAAAAGTATTGATGACTCATTCATTGACGACTAACCAGTCTGATCAGAAACAGCAAGTGGCTCTCCATTACAGAACGCTCCCTTTCCACGTCTCGCTGTAAACATCTTATCTTCAAGACAGCTGTAGACCACGCCCACCTCCACCTGACCAAGGAAACACAGCAGACTTAACATGTCCCAGGTACCAGACTCGCCCAGTCCCCGAAGGTACCCTGTAGATTTCCTGTGGAAATATTATTCCTGACCACAGTGATTTCAGATTAAAACCCTGCTGTGTTTTAAGGGCTAACACATTCCTCACATTATAGCTTAGATTAAGACATATGTATACTTCATTCAGTCCCACAAAAACAGAACCATCATCTTATCAAACAAATACACACATTTCCAACTTCTGCTGACCACTTCTGGACTACTGAAAGATCAAAACCAGTCCTACCCTTGCTCCAATCTAGTACTAGTAGATTAGTAGATATAGTAGTGTGTGTCTTCTTGAATGGCTGTTCTTAAACGTAATTTCATTGTGCTTCGTACAATGACAATAAAGGCACCATCAATCAGTCAATCAGTCAATCAATCAGTCAATCAGTCAATCAATCAGTCAATCAGTCAATCAGTCAATCAATCAATCAGTCAATCAATCAATTTCATGAGGGCCAGTCCTACCATAACTTCAGTCCAGTACTGCATCATTCATGTATAAGGTTTTCCAAGACATTAGAATTAAAAATTAAAAAATATGTATATCAGTTACAATTGCTAAATCATTTGAAAAGTTGTGCACATAGAAATCATCATTTTACCTCAGGTAGCAAAGCCCCCACTCACCATTCTACCTTATATTCTTTAGATGGCCCTCTACATCCTCAGACTCTTACACTGGTACACTTTCATTTATAAATCCATCCTTCGACTGGTTCCATCGTACTTAACGTGTTATATTTCATGTAAAAACACCACCACAGCCTTCGTTCTCAGGACTTTATTACGTTCAGTGTTCCTTCAGTGCGTACTGAGCTTCTGGCCCCGACACCTGGAACAAGCTCTCCAGTTTGGTCACACTTGGGGAGTTTATGATTTTAATAAACAGATTTGAAATTTTGTCCATAAGCACCTGCACTTGTCAATGAAAACCCTTTCTTTGATGATGTATGGTCTTGATTTTTAGAAGTGTTAAGTAAATTGTATTATTATTGTTTTTGTTACTTTGTTGAGGTGAATGTAACAGGTCTCCCTTTAAATGAGACAATGAGTCTCAAGAGATCTTCCTGTATAAATAAAGGATAAATAAAAAATAATTAAAATAAGACCATTCAGAGGTTTTTATTCAGTATAAATTTGCTGTGGTCTTAAAAAATGTCATGTGGTGTGAAGTGAGCTGTGAAAGTTTGTGCAGCCTTGTGAATTTTCCTGATTTTCCTTTATAAATCATTGATTGTTTGGATTAAAAACATCAGTTAAATATATCATATAGAGGACAAACACAGTGATATTTGAGAAGTGAAATAAAGTTTATATAATTTACAGAAAGTGTGCAATAATTGGTTAAACTAAATTAGACAGGTGCATAAATTTGGGCACCATAAAAACCCTTAAATCAATATTTAGTAGGTCCTCCTTTCACAGAAATAACAGCCTCTAAACACTTCCTCCAGCTTCTAATGAGAGTCTGGATTGTGTCTGAAGGTATTTTAGACCATTCTTCTTTACAAAACATCTCTAGTTCATTCAGGTTTGATGGTTTCTGAGCATGGACAGCTCTCTGTCCGTCTGTCTGCATCACTCTCCCATACTGCATCTCCTTGTGTAAAGTGTGCTGAATAGTTGAACGATGCACAG